TTCAAATTAATATATATATATATATATATATATATATTAATTGTGGGTAAAGATGGTGAATTTTGAAAAATATATATTATATTTTGTAGATTTATTTATGTTTTTAGTTTCCTATATTTAGGATAATTAAAGTTTTAATTTCATAATTATATTGTTAAAATTTGTTGTAAAACATAAATAATTAAATAAAATAAATTTAGGTAAACTTTTACAATTAATGAATCCCTTTCTCTCTTTATAATTAAATATAGAGTTAAGCCTAGGTTTTGATTGTCCAGGCAACCGCCTAGGGCCTATGGTTAAAATGACCCATTTTTTTAATTATACAATTATGTTATAATCTTATATTATTTTAAAAATAAATTAAATTTATGTATGTCTAATGATATGATTACAATATTTTATTATTGTTTTTTTTAATGTATTACATTCATAAAAGAGTAAAATATAATTTTGGTTCTACTAATTTTTTTAAGTTTAATTTTTGTTCTTAATTTTTTTTAGTCTTATTTTGCTTCTTCTAATTTGAAGTTGCACTACACATTTTGCTCAATGTTATTTACATAACATTCTATAATAAATAATAATATAAAAATAAATTGAATGAAAATATAAAATATTTTTTTGAGATTTGTTAACATTATTTTTTTTAGATCAGTGTTAACATTATTATTTGTTTAATATAAAAAATGTCATTTTAAGTTAAAGATTTAATGCATCATTTGATCTATGAATTTTTTAGAAATTTTTAACTAGATCTCTAAATTAAAAAGATAAAATAAAAAACTGTAACCGAATCTTTTATCTTTTTTATAATTTTATAATTTAGTTCATATTATTAGAGACCTATTCATAATTTGTAAAATATGATATATTTAATATATATATATATATATATATATATAATATTATGTGTTGTATTAGATCAACATTCTAATTTTATTTAACATTTTAGGATAAATTATAATCAAAACTTGAAGATATGAAAAGAGTTGAGTTGGAAGAATAATTATTTCAATTTGTAACTATACTTCCAACAGTCCTAATGAACAAACATAATATTTTATACAAGCAAAATAAGTATAACTTATGGTAGTATAGTCTTCTCTATAATCAAATTTGGTTCGCATTACCAAATATATTATTGATTTACGTCATTATATTTGTTAACATACTTACCCATCTAATTTGAACTCAAATTTTGTAATGCCTAAAAACATTTTTTTTTTTACCTTTTTGACATTTTGAATTTTCTTTTATATTTTGATTAGTTTTTACATTTTATAATCTAAAATGTGTATATGTATGAAAGTTCTATTTAATTTTATTTATTATGAAATAAACTCATTTGTAAAAAGGTTATTAATATATTAAATTTATGTCTAACACATGTTGCATCTGAATATTAAATTAAATAATATATTTTTAAAAAATCACTGAGTTATTATAAAAACTTATTTTATCAACTTTTTATACATATCAAGACACAAATATATTATTTAAAGAGAAAAATAATTTGTTTCTGTAATATTTTGTAAATATTTGAAGTGTTAAAGAAAATAAATCATTCAAATAAAAAAATTAAAAAAAAGATGATTAATCAAATTTTAAGCATGTAATTATATATTATAAACAATTGATTTCGTTTTAATATAATAGTAGTTATTATATAACTATTTAAAATATATTTAAATAATTTTTGTTTTTTTAGTTTGTATTATTATATAGTTATTTTTAATTATTTATTTCTCTATTAAAATGTTAAGTAATCATCATAAATATTAAAACTATCGTTAAGAATCAATAATAATAATTTTATATTTTAGAAGGATAAAAATTAAAAGAAAAATATTTCATAGGATCAAAATCAAAATTAATCATTTTATAAAGATAAAAATTATATTACAAAGACTAAAAATGATATTTATAAATTTTAGAAAAATAGAGAAATTTTTTTTTAAGAATTAAAATTGAAATTTACTTATTTTATAGAAACTAACAAATATTTACAAATTTAAAAGAAAATAAAAAATAGAAAAATAATTCAAGAACCAAAATTAAAACTCAAATAATGATTAAAAATATATTTAAAACTTAATTATATTATTATTCACACATATAAATCCATGTATAACACGGGTAGAGTGACTAGTATATTC